TTTGATTTTATTTTACTTGAATTTTATTTTACTTTTATTCTTATCTCTACTTTCTATATTTAGCTAAGAGTTTATTGTTTACTGTTTATTGTTTACTCTATATTTAGCTAAGAGTTTATTGTTTACTGTTTATTGTATTCTTTTATACCTCTTATTTGTTCGTGTTTTGTAAGCTGCTGGAAATTCAATTTTCTTTGAAGGAGTCATCCCAAAGGGATCAATAAAGTGAAGTCTCAGTCTGATGTTAGCTTTTAGCTCAAAGCTGAAGTTCTTCCTCAAATCAAAAATACATATTATTTATTTTACCAGTATTTATCCTTTTAGATAGTCTTGGTGTAAGTTTCTTGGTTTTGGAGAGTCTACCTTCTCTAATATTTATACATAATATGTGTATAATACATATTATATGGATGAAAATATGTACTTCTGATTTTGGGATAAAACTGGATGCATTTTTCAAGTAACCACTAAAAACAATGGTTATTGACCAAAGTCCTGCTCATGAATTTCAGATTTCTTCTGTTTTTGTGCATTACAGTATGAATATCTGTCTGGTTTCTGACCTGACGAAGAGCCATGTAGGATCGAAACGTCGTCATTAATAACATATTTTCTGTGGCAGTGAGTAATGTGCAGGCTTTTTCATTGATGCCTTGCCTTCTACTTTAAAGGAAACATTACTCAGGGCTTTTCCAGTGAGTCTGTTATCTGTATTGATATTGTGAAACTCAACAGTCAGTGAGGAAATCTTAGTATTTTGGTGCTAATGGCACTGAAAAGCAATCAGGCATCTTTAAACAAAATCTCTGGGCTGTTTTAACATCATTAGCTTTCACTGCCCAGAGGAATTTATTACAAAAGCCGGATTAAAACCAGAGTTTGTTTTTCTCTCTTCTCTTCAGGACTCTGGGTTATAAGAACCGGTACGTTCGAGTTCCCGACGGTCACTTCTGGATCGAGGGGGATCATCACGGACACAGTCTGGACAGCAACAGCTTTGGACCGGTAAGACCTGAACCCTTGTTACACAACATCAGCATCAACCAGTCAGACATAAAGTTTAAGTGACATTTAGGATTACAGATATTGACAAAACTAACTCAAATAAAATAAAAATATACAGGAAGTGGGTTTTTTCACTTTGGTAAAATAGAGGACAATTTTTTAATTAAAAAACCTTAGTCATAGTAAGTTAGGTTTTTATATATATATATATGAGTTTAGTTATACTACTGCAGACACTGTAACTAAACTGTGAAGTAATGAAAAACACACACACACATCCCTGTGTCCAACACTGTTACCATAGTGACTGAACTAATGCAAAGCAGTGGTCCCAAAAACATCTCATCGTATAAAAGAAAAACACAATCTCACTCATATTTAACACCAAGACACCGATTAATGAAAAAATAAGGAACAGGTGAGAGCTGCTCATCCTTGAGTCGAGCCCCGCTCTCTTTTGGGAATCTGTTCTTACTTTTTCTGTGATTGCTTCGTACGGTAAACATAAGGGATAAAAACCACGTGAACCATATAGTTTCTGGGACGGTGATACTTAGACTGTAAACCTCCCTCTGCACCTTGTGTTTGAACCCAAATCGTGAACAGTTTGTGTAAATTGAGTGATTTAGATGAAATTTGAGCAGATTATTTCCTGTTCAGGGAACTTTCCATACAATTCTCTGTCTATAATATGTAATTTCTGTCATTTTTAACAATCATACAGATTACTAGGCTTCTTTTTTGACAAATCCAGCGTTTTCTTGTGTCTGGTGCTTGGCCATCATTTGATTAGACAATTTCACTTTACTTTACATGTACTTTTCTTCACATAAGTCATCCAAATGCCGACCCCCCCAGGTTGGGAACCGCTGATTTAGAGTACCATGGTTCAATAGTGCAACAGGAGTAGAAACTCCTCTGTTCCTTGTGCAACAACCCTGCTCATTGTACTTACAGCACTGTTGTTGTGTTTTGGTACTCTTTGTCTGTACTTGTGCTGTTTGTTTTTATGTTTGTGCCCCTGACTGCAAGTTTCCTATCTGAACTGAAAACTGAAGTGAAGACAGGAAGATGCCTACTCTCATCTATGGGAAGGTGAAATAAGAGTCATAATAACATTGGTAAACCCTAAAATCTGCTCCACTCCACTCTGATGGTAAACCATGTTTATTTGGAGGAGATGGGCTGAAAAAGAACACGGAGCTTTGTGAGAAATCCACGGATAAATAAATCCAATGTGTGTGTTGTGTGTCATAGGTGAAGGTTTTACCTGTCCAGTCTGATGTTGAGCCGGGTTTACCTACATCCCCCTCTGGCTGGAGCAAAGACTTCACTATTTGAAGGAAATTGAAGTGACAGATTTAGCATTTTTTCATCTGACTGTGTTTCAGTTGAGTTGTCCATCCTGACAGATGCTTCTCCTCCAAACATAAAGATTTCATTAATGCTGCGTCCTCCTGGTTCAGGAAGAGCATTAACATCCTCATATTGACTCCTCCTCTCTGCGTGCTGTTTGTGGTTTGCTCCTCTCTCAGTATAACATTTTCAGCAGAGGTGGAAGGTGCTGTTTACTATGGATGGCACATTACAGGCCAGACAGAAGGCCCGGATCTCCAGCTGAAAGGAGCTCAGACGAAATCCCCTCAGATCTGAAACCCAGAACACATGGACCAACAGCTCCACAGAGCTTCTCAGGCTTTACAGTTTGTTCCCCAGACATTTCTGTGTGTACGGCAGCTGCAGCTTAGTGCACGTCCATCCGGGTAATTTCTTTTCAGCAGGAAGTGGCTTTTTTTGGCTTCATGCGCCACT